TATAAATGGCTTAAGATAACATTTATGGAAAATTACACACATGGGGAAATTGCACAATACAATTAAAACATGAAGCAATTTCCAGGCAAAGTAATGTGATTTTGTATTTAATTCATTTATAAAAGCCCATTTAAAAAAGTTACTTCAAGTATTTATTAAACTATAAATGGCAACATGATTTCTCTGTGCATAGGACTAGTCCTACCTGTAACACACAAAAAGTACAATAAATGTGTCGATATTACATACATCTTTTACACTTCACCTCAAACTTAAATACAGCTCATTATAAGTTTAGGCAGCACAATTAAAAATAACTATGTGAAGTAGAATAGCTGGGACATTGTAATTAGTGCAAATGTTGATGACCCTTGCTGGCAAATACAAAAATGACTGCAGAGATACCCCAGGGATGTTTAATTCATGTAAGTTAAAAAGGGGAGATGGAGAGGGGGCAGACCTAACAGTAGGAATGCTGCCTCTTTCTGTGATGTTTTTATGATTGTAAACTGCTGTTCATTTAAGTTCCTCACAATAAAGCCAACAGCAACGGGTTAAGAGACAGGAGAGGAACATGCTAAGCCTGTAAGTTGTCAGCTAAGCAATGTAAACAGAAGGGAATCTGCATGGCACCGTTAACACCAGTAAAGGTGATGCCTATACTTCATCCCCAACACATCTGCTTGACTGCTAAGCATATGCTCTCTGTTTCTTGGGGCAGGGGATGGGAAGAAAAATGGGGAAAGCCCCCAGAAACAAAGCAAGCAATCCTGTAAACATTATCAGACTTTACTACCTAATGGAAACAAGATTCAAGTAATTGCTGCAGAAAACAAACAGCCAAACACCAGTTTTAATCATCATTAAAACTACAACTTGCAGCTTCATTAAGTTTCATGACAGTTATGTAATTAAGAAGAAAATGCATATAAAAAGCAGTCTATATATACAAAATAAACTGATAGAAATGAGTGTAGTAAATGTGTTCAGTATAACAACTCACTTTATATGCAGCTGCTCTCTTTGGTGCCATTTAGGAATAGAAGAGCCTCTGATGTTGCATACCTGGCTATTTCTTAGGTACTGTGAAAGATGTGTTCTTTGTCTGCACTTACAATAAAGTAGCTGCTATTTGGAGCCTCTGTAAACATACACCTGAATCCCCCAATTATGTACAATTTTAGACGTTGTCCCCACAGAACATATACTATGAAGCTCAAAGTTGGGTTTTTTGTTTTAGGGTTTTTGTTGTTGTTGTTCTGTTTTTTTTTAAGTTTTTAATAAATATGGTCAGTCAGTGCTCCAGGTCTAGGCAGATCTGCTTAATTTATGTGGGAGTCAATGCATCTCAGTAAATCTGCCAGACACAAATGCTGCTGCAGACACTGCTCTTTTTCCCTTCTCTTGGGGCTCTAGTGAGCTACAACAGGAAAAAACTAGAAAGAAACAGCTAGAAGAAGTTCCTTGAGTGGATATTGAATAGTATCAAGCTTAACCAAACCCCAAAAGATTACTTGTGATACAGAAGAGCCACACAAGATCAAACAAGGGAAGAAACAGTACCCAAAAACTGTAGGCATTCAGCACTCTGAAGAACAGGACCAGTTTCTAAGAATAGCATCCCAAAAGTAGCTTGGTACCTGCGAATTCCACACTCAAGGGCCAGCTTTAACAAAAATGTTACCGTAATTTCTACTCAAATCACTAAAAGTGCCCAAACTCCCTCTAAAATAACCGTCTGAGTATTTAAAGTAGAAGTTTTCAATCAAAGGTTTATGATGCATCTAACTTGAGACACTGCAATCTCAGGATAATACTGTAGGTAATCAGTTATGACAGAAACCTACAGCTCTTCCTGCCCTCTTCCTGCAATATGCCTTTGGTAGAAGCAGCAATGACGTCTGTGTTGTACAGTCTGTGAATAAATCATCATAAAAAAAAAAAACCTTACTACTGGCTGTGTAGTTTTAAGTATTCTTTTCCATTTATGGATCTCCTTGCCTCATGTTCACAGGGACAGGTTTGTCATCTCAAGACATTCCAGAAATATTGAGGAGAAATCACACACTGAAATCTTGCCCTACGTCAGGCTTTTGTCCACACAGTGGGAGTTTAATGTCATTTTGTGTGCTTGACTCGTGTGCATATGGGGATTTTTTTAAAAGAAAAAAAGCAGTAAGAAATACTAAAGCATTTAGTTTCTAATTCCAGCCAATGTCAACTATCCTACAGTAACTACAATACTATTTATGGCTTACAATAGTAATTATTTGGATGCATCTAAAAGCTTAAGGGCTGTTATTTTTAGTGACAACCTAGGTATTTTCAAGACTTGCTGATACAGAGTACGTTAAAGCACAAAAGCAGCATGTGCAACATGACCCAGCACCCTCAACAGTTTTCTCGGGATCCGTATCCCTTCTGGCCTCCTGAACAGGCAGAGCTGCTCTTCTTACTGCATTCACTGGAAGTTTTCAGCTCTTGAGCACAGGGGCCAAAAGGACCCAATTCCTGGAGCACCCCTACAGCCCCCTGCCTCTGCTGGCAGTGACACCCAAGTCTGCTTGCAACTCAACAGCCAAACAGCTCTCTGTCCTCACCAATTTTTTAATTCCCGGCTTGCTCCCTCATTTTGCCTATCCTACTCTTTGATACAGCACAGACAGACTGCCCTTGCTTATGGCTAAGGAGCCGTCGGGACAGAACTCTGAAAGACAGGACAGAAGATGTCATCCTGCTGCCTTAGACGTGATACCTCCTGGGCAGCCAGGGCCTGCCAGGAAAACCTGACCCCCCTCATCCCACTCACTGTTGCACCCTTAGAAGTTCATCGATACAATTCCGTTAGAGAACTTAATTCCTTTTTGTCAGTCTGGGGTTTCTCTTAGTAACCAGTTCCCCAGGATAAAAGGGGTGGTGGTGCTGAATTTGGAAGAATCATATTTGAATCATTTTACTGTTTCATATTTGTCAAAATGATTTTTCAGTAATGCCAGCATTTACATCAACAGTAACTCTGGCCTCAAGAGTATCCTGAGCACACTGCTCTCCTCCTTCTCTCATCTGAAAAGTGAGAAAAATCTGGGACAAAATGTACCCGTGATCTGCATAGAGATGTCAGAAACATCAGCTCTTCATGAAAAGCCACAAAAATGTCCATCAGATACACAAAGAACTGGTTTCAGAAAACCAGCACTTGCTAGAGAACACAGATGGGAGTTAGTCCAGTCTGTTTACTTGCAGTTTTTCCTGTAGATTAACTATCCTGACTTAAGAAATCAAACAAGTTATACTGATGTTAGCCTACAGTATATATACATTCATATGGGGGTATATCGAGCACTTTGGGGGGTGAGGGGGAGCAGAGACCATATTGCTGAATCAGTGATATTTACCTTATTAGAGACCTAGATTTTGTTCATAGCATTGCTAGACGATGCCTGTGCACGTATGCGTTATCTCAGCTGTTACACACTGATGTAACTAAACGCCAGATGATATCCTGGGCCCTCCATTACAGTTCCACCAGTGCTGGGGGCTGCAAATTTTGGTATCCAGAATGAGCTATCTGAACCTGCGGTCTTCTGTCTCTGTTGTCTTCTCCAAGAAATTCTGCTGGTGCAGTACTGCTGAGAGCTTATATTCAGATGAGCACTTCTCACTTGACATTTGAGAAGAAAAAGCTAAACTGTTCAGATTAATGTGTAGCAAACGTTTTTGTAAGCTTTGAAATTAGCAAATGCAAAATTTCTTGTACAAAGTTTGAAGGAACATTCTGCAACTTTTATAAATCATGCAAGTTTGGACCACTACTTCTGTCTCAAGAACATCCAACAGTGACCAAATCATGTTCATAGGTTCTCAAAAGTGTTCTTGTTCTACAAGATTAGTATTTAAGAAAAATTTATTCTTTCCAAAGACAAAAAATACTTAAGCCTTACAGTATATTTGATACCTTAGTATCTCCATCATAAACATACTTGACTTAAGTAGCAACCACTCTGCGAGAGAAACTAAACAGGTTCTTTTGGTCCAGATCATCAACTCGGCTACTACCTTCAGTCTGTATCAAAAGGGCTCATGTCTATTTGTAATCATCATCATCTGAACAGCAGAAAAGTTACAGACAAGAAAGCAGTTATTTGTCACTTCCTCCAGGTGCAAAATTCCAATACCACCCAAAGAGGAGTTAGCAGTCTTCTCTACAGAGGAGCGAGAGGGGAAAAAACCCATGTTGCTTGCTGTAGGTCTTCAGCTTAGGACGGACTTCATTCCTGACACCGGAACACATTTTGCCTTTTGTGAACAGGTACATCACTGCACAAAGCATTCACTCTTCAGCAATTTCAGCATCACTTAAACTGGACTTGAAAGTGGCAGATGAAAGCATACAAATTCTCAGTGTGTTAACACAGATGTATGATCCAATACTAATTTTCTCGTAAGTACTTGATATTTGTTTAAATGGTACTTCAGAACCAATAAAAACTTGTGCCTTTATTAAAAAGATAAAACAAAAGTATAAAACAGTATTTATAAACCATCAAGAGTCCCACAGAAAAAGCAGTACTCTTCCAGTTCTGTTTTCTAACAACACACAAATGCAATAAGGTTTTTCTCAGGGGTATTTTACCAGTTTGTTACTGCCTCATACAGAACACTGCAGACATGAACAGAAAATGTAACAACTGTTAATTCCTTTTTGCATCAGGTTTTCTTTGTATGCTGACAGACGATTGTTGGAAAGTAATAATCCATGTTTTTTCAACTAAAAACCAAGTTTGCTTCTTTGAGCGCTGTTCTTGATAATGGTTAAATAAATCAAGTTACAATGATGCAGGGGGTTCAATCTTATAGCAAAAAAGCAACACCCAAGTAAAAGGCTTTTATGTTGTTGGCATTGCCTGGCTCCAAAGCACAGCTAGTAGAAGGAATCCTCAGTCCCAAAAGACTTGGAGAGCTATGATCATGGGGTAGACTGGTTAACAGGAAGAGGGGAGAAGACATCATCCAGTTCCTTCCCCATCACCTGGTGTTTGAACTATGTATAGTCGCACTTCAGACTCACCGGCCATGCTCTATGTTGATTTTTCTTGCACCCTCCTCCCCTTTTCTTTTTCCCTTTTCCTTCTTTCTTTTGTTCTGTACCCTGGAAACCTGCTATGGAAGTGACTTCTGCAGTGCCTAAGGTATGAAGTTTGCACATGGGGAGGTAGGAGTCTGCAATCTACCCCCACCACTGCAGCATAACAGAAATGCATAGTTCCTGCTCTGGACCTTGTGCATCCAAGCAGGGCACTTCAGGATTTGGCCCTTTGGTAGCAGTATATAATTCAGTGTTGCATAAATGCACATTAAGAATCTTAAGGCATCTGTCTTAACTTCCCTGCTCTGCAATAGTGCTTACAAGAATCCATTGTACTGTGCAGAAACTTGAATTTCTTATCTCTTCCTAAAATGTTCATGTTCCATTTTTTACTGATCAACTTCTTCCAAACAAAATTAAGTAATATTCAAGCACAAAATGTGTTGCAGAAACCTAGTGAACAAAAAAGGCAATTAGTGGAATTATACCATTAGCTTGGAAAAAACAGATCCTAGTGCATTACAAGAATGCAGCTACGTAACAGGCAATTTACAGGCTCCTTATTCAGGACAGGAGTTATGGTAACTTCAACTCATCATTAGCCTTCTGGGAAGTGTGTTTTTTTTGTTTTGTGTTTGTTCTAAACCTCTTATGTTTTAGAAGATTATCTGCACTAAGAATGCCAATCCATCACCACTGACCTGTGGCTAAAGTCTCTTGGATCCCTGACTGGCAAGAATTGCCGTGGGGACACAAATGATATTTGCCTGGGCGAGGCTGGGGGATTGGCCTTCTTTTGCAAATCGTGCTCTTTTCCTAGAATAATCTGGGAATTTTACTCGTCAGCTGTAACTTCGATTGTTTCTGCTGCATGTTATAGGCATAAAATGGAAAAATACAAGAATCAGTCTGTTACAGAGCACTTGGAACAGATGTTGGATCTCACAGCTACTGCACAGTTGCTTACAATTGCAGGGGGACAGGAATTAACCACCTTGGCTGACAGAAACTGTGACCAAATCCAACTGAACTCAGAACAGCTGAAACATTGCGCTACTGAGTTAACTAACTAAATTAATTATTTGGGATAACACATACCAAAATGTGTATTTTTGTTATTTGCAAAATATACAAATTTTTTGCATTGGGTGCAATTATGCACTATTTATTTATGCAACTTTTAAAACTACAGCAGTCTGGGAAGTGCGACACAAAGTACATGATCTTCCTTTATTAAATTTGGCCTGACTTTAGGAAGAGAGTGAGGATAGAAGGGAAATTAATCCCAAACACTTACCAGTTAATTGTCTAGCCTAAGCCAGTCACTTATGCTCCCTCTCTAGGTCAGTGGAAAGAGAGATTAAGACCTTTCTATAACACCCTATCAAAGGCTGCTGGGATGAGCTGCTCTCAAAAGGTATCTATTCCTTTCTATGAAGAATAGAAAAGCCTTAGTAACCTGTTCAGATTAGTTTTTATATATATAGAGGCTGGAAAGAGTCCCTTGCTTGGGATGTTCATTTGCACATTTATATAAGTGTTAAGAAAAGTTGCAAAAGGAAGTCTCATCATTGGTGGGTTCTCATGGTTGAGTAGGTTTTTCAAGAATACCACTTGTCTAATTTTGGTTTAGTAAGAGTTTACACTGAGCAATGTGACCAACATCAGTCAAAGCATAACACCATCCCCCACAAAGACCTTTTGGACGGATTTTTTTCTTGAAAACAAACCAACTCCCCCCAAACAGCAATTCTAGGTCAGAAGGCTTATTAAAAAAGAAAAAAAAATTATTTCCAAAGAAAATGAGAATTCCTTGCAAGTTGTGTCTTTTTTTTTTTTTTTTTTAAAAAAAAAAGGGAAAAAAGAACAAAAAAAGGCAGAGGGAGTAAATGACTCAACCCTCAGCATTTACGGTTGCTAGTTGTCCAAGATCTGTTTCTCTTCCAGAGAGAAAAATTAAGCTTATAAGCTCACCACAGTATGAAGTCAATGTAAGAGATATCTAGTTTAGTCACTGGAAATACACCAAGGGAAGTTTTCATAAGCATAGCAGCACTCACTGCATTTCCTAAATGCAAAGTGTGCACAGAGCTCTTACATGAAAGATCACTGTCAATTCCAAGTGTGATGAAGCAGTCTGTATGCAGGCACCTGTATTTACATACTGACCTTCCTTGCTCATGCACACACAGCTTCTTAAAGTATAAGAGCAGAGCACGGCCCACCAATATATGATTAAGACAGTTAAAGAGCTGTTCCTTAAGAACAGCACTTCCTCAAGACAGCACTTCATCTTGAAATTGCCTATTTAGCAGATTAGATTCTTCTCCCTGGTCAGGTAACAAGTCCAGCACTACCCACTTCAATCTAAATTACAGGATTAGTCTGACTCATCTCAGATCTAGCCAGCCTGTGTTTCCTGCACTACAGCATTACTCCCATTCTTGTCTTCTGGACAGCCATTCTGAGTTTTTTTTAGACTTTTCTATTACTCATCCGACATCAAAGGACACGTCTGCATGCCATGACTAGCGGCTTTTGACATCAAGATGTCTATTTTAGTTTACTCATACATACAGAGAAACGTCAATCAATTATGTTGGTCTTACCTGTTTCTCATTGAGATGGTTGGTTAGCAATAAGCTGAGATCAGCTTTCCAATGAAACTATAATATGCTTTTTTGCACCTAAAATGTGAGAGAATCTCAATTATGTGTTTTTGCAGATTTGCACAACAAATAGCAAAGAATTAAAACCAGAAAGCACATTTATCATACTGCGCCTATTTTAGGAAAATATTTTTATCCCCCTAATCAAATGTCAAAAGATTCAAAATCTCAGAACTTGTTTTGGTGCTGAGCATGAGATACAAGTTAGCTTTAACTCCTAAACATGCTGACTTGATTCTATAGAACAAATTTTCTTCTACTTGACTCCAACCAATTCCTAAGGAATTTTTAGGCCTAAAAAAATATGGAAAAAAACACCACAAACAAAATGATAGAATCATCAGAAGTGTTACGGTGCATGCTACCTGATTTAACATTTTCCTCTTCAGGGCCACTTTCCACCCACTGAGTGTCACTGGCTAGCAATCGATTTTGTGATTCACTGAGTGGTCGAGTAGGAAAGGACTGATTGGCTCCAGAGCTGAAAAGTAAGCAAAGTCAACAGCAATTCCATAATAGCAGTAGCTGCTCATTTCAGACAGTTGTGGACTAGTGAAGTTAATTAAGAGCAAAGCAAACAAAAAAACCTACACTGCCAACTAAAAATGGCCCCTGGCCCCCAACCCCAGTTCTCCTACAGGCTTGTTCCATTTATCAGTCTAAACCCTGACATAGGCCACTCGCAGTTCTAATGGGAAAAAAAAGCACAAATTGATAGACAAGAAATGGCATACTCACAACAATGCTGCTGCCACACAGTTAAAAAGAAAACCTAACCAGTACTGTCTGGAAGAACACCTAATGCCATTTTATCCCATCAGCAAATGCTAGGGCCTTCTGCTGAACATCTCCCCAATGCAAAAGGATACTCTGCTGTTTGCACAAGGCTCATGTGTAAATTCCACAGGTTACGTTGCAATGGAAGCAACTTCTCCTCAGTATTGCCTTTGAACACCTTAATGCCTGCTAACTCGGGTGACTGCTGTTGACAACAGCCTCCAGCTACAAATTCACCAAACTATACAGAAGACTTCTAAAATGGCAAATGTAAACACCCTCAGAAGTTTCACATACTCCTGTGTCTTTGAATCTAAAGCAGGCTTCCTGCAAATGCACTGAAGATACAGAACATGCAAATTTGAAGGGATAAAAAGTAAAGAGCTAAAAACCCTCCAGTGCTAAAAACAGGCAATAGCCACAGTGATCTACCTCTCTTGCAAACGGTGTCTCAGCATCCCTTGTTTAAGCATGCTGGAGGAGGTGAAATACAAATACTACCTTGCCTTTCAATCATTCAAAAAAAAAAAAATCATCTTAATTTTTTTTCCCCATGGACCATTATTCAGTCTTCCCTAGGACTTTTTTGATCATTGTTAAGAGCTAGTAAGCTCTCTTACTCCCTGTATTACTATTTCCTTACAGCCATATCCTCTGTTACAGGTCAAAACCAAGAAACACTTTCTGCATCAAGCAGCACCATTTTTAGTCTTGATCCATTCTGTCCTTCTGTGAAGACTTACAAACTCACTCTGAAGATGACAAGAAGTATAAAAATTAAAAAATAATTCTAAACCAATTTTTTCTCCAGATGGAGTACAGAACAGTACAAAATCAGTATCTTAAATGCTATAGTTACCTTTTGTCAGGTTCATTTTGGCTTGAGACAGTAAGTTGCTCTGGATCCATAATCACCAAACGAGTTGGAAAATTACACCCGTCGCCCAAACTAAACCAGAAACAAAGATTCACATCACTGTTTGTAGTTGATTTAAATGAACTGAACAAGCACCCATGCAAAAGGCAAGTGCTACAGGCTTGAATCAATTACTTGAGTGCAGCACTGAACTCCAGAATTGAGCAAGGCAGTTCTACCACTAAGCCAAATGATCAGTTAATTAAATCTTGGAGCTCAAATGATTCCCACCATATCACTCAGTATGGACTGCTGAGCACAGCACTAGTCTATATATTTCAGAAACATCACTGTGTTTCTGTAGACTGTAGCTTTAGCCTTCCCCCAAGCCACCATGCACACATAGTCAGGCTATCTGGTATTTACAGCCTCAGAAGCTGTAGCATAAATAATATTCTGGTGGCCATGCTTTCCTCTCTGCCCATCATTTTGAGGTTAGCTAAGCCTTCTTTTAAAGCAAGATTAATCAGGATAAAATGTGACTGATCCATCTGCAATATAGTTTCTGTCTTTAATCACATGAAAAGTCATGGTAGTTGAGCAAACAGCTGAGGCAACTTAAGATCTAGTTATTAACTCTGCCATTTGCAACCAGACCTCAGCTTCACAAATGAGCTCACCAACGATACATAACCCCCCAAAAGCAGTGTTGAAACATGGCTCCTACTTTGTTCTGCTGACTTTTGGGAGTGGTGGGAGTGGGCAGCAGGTCAGTCTTGCTTCATCAAACTTTTCTGATGCTTGTCTGCAACTCCTAACAATGCCTCAGCTGAAGTTTTAAAACCAGTATTTTGCATTGTATCAGAACTCTTTTTTTGCACTGCTGCTTATTTGCATGCACTTTCTCAGGTGGCTTTCAATACCAGAACTGTCATCTATAGTAAAAGAAAAGCTGCCAAGTAAGAGGGGGTGTTTTTAAGCTGATGTTGTTTCAATCATCAAGTTTAAGCATTTGGGTCTCCTCCGAGTTGCTGATTTCTGCTCTATAATCAGACACTAATACTACCACCAAAAGGTGTACAATTTTTGAAATACACCTCTCAAAGGTTTCCAAAATCCCATATTTAGAAAGCCCTTGTCAATGAGGCCCTTGTCTTTCAATGAAAACCCTGTGCAGAGTTTGCTCAGTTTTCTCCTGCGTATTTCCCCTACACCAATATTCATCGTGCAGGATTTACAAGTTTGCTTTTCAGCCATTTTTTTTCTTTTTCAGGAGAAGGGGAAGCAAGGTGAAAGTCATGGAATCAATCTGTTCCCCAATTCATTCCCATTCAGATTGAATACCTGGTAAAGATAGGGATTAGCCAATACTTCTTTTCATCTCCAAAAACCTCCCTCAGATTTTTGCTGCATCCAAGAGAAAAGCCATTTTTATCAGGGCCATTTCGAAATGTGGGTGCACGGAATGTTTCTGTAAAAGAAAAACATACAGTATCTCTAAAGTGATAAGGAGTCAGGGAAGGCAAATAAACAGACTCAAACTTCTCTACTGTGAAAACAGCGTCGGGTGAGCTGAGACTATCTCGGTGTGTATTATGGAAAACTAAAGTAAATCTCAAGTAATCAGAGAGCATTAAAAAAAAATCACAGGGTTAATAACAAAAATAGAAATGAAAGGTAAAAAAGTCACGTAAGGAGAACAGTCATCTTTCTCTCTTTACATTTAATGTAAGGTCTGAGACAGAGCCAAATACCGTCAGCATGCCAAAGATACCACATCCCATATTCATTGATGGCTAGCGCTCTCTTTGACCTGTGAAGGCTTCTTTGAGCAGAAGGCTTCCTCTTCTAGAAGTAATTTACCATAACGACTACTGGACCTAGACCCATACAGTATGGTTTTTTCCACTTCTGCCAAGGACTGAAGTTGAATTAAGAGCATCCCATGGTATCAGAGAAAGATGAGAACTATTACATTAGAAACACAGGTGCACCATGAACTGTAGCAAACCACCACCATTTTTCTAGTCAGTCCCATTATACCCTTGTCCAAGAACCAAGAGGACCCATTGCTCCCCCATACCAACAGCTTGTCTTTTTACCATCATAACCCACAAAATAAAGTACTGACTGTGTTGCCAATTATGACCACTGACTTTCAGGCAAGGAACATGCTAAAATTTTTTTCAAAGCTAAAAAAAAAAAAAGACTGAATATTCCTTAGCTGTAGAGATGTCAAAAGAAAAAACAATCCTCCTGTCAAGCAATCAAAAAAATTCCTTTTCCTCCATGAAAAAGTTCTACCAAGCTGAAAATTATTTCTTTTTTAATCAACCCACTTATTTTTGAGGATAGAAATTTAACTTCTTGAAAAGTGTAAAATTGTGACTTACTCAGTTGTGGAAATACCCACCAGTCCCCATTTGCCACCCCCACCCC